ATCATGTAGACGTATGAATAAATAGCATACAAATGCTTGAAAATGGCAGAATAATTGTGAAATATGTTATATAGTAAAAGGTTGTGGCCATAACTGATGCCAATCTTTCCAGCCGTTGATCTGATATGCAATCGAAAGTCGAGAAGTATTAGTCTACGACATAAGAAAGGTTGCATTGAAATTTCATGATTATGAAACGAGTTTTGAAGTATTTGAAATATACTCCAAATGATGTTTTGCACTATAATAAGTATCCCACGATAATAGAGGGGTATAGTGATGCAAATTAGATCACCGGTTCAATCGATTCTAAACAGTCGGTGGAGGAGCGATGTCTTGGAAATCGCCCAAACAAATGTGCATTGACCACTCTACAGTGGAGGCTGAGTTTATAACCTCAGACATGCCCGGTGAAGAAGCTGAATGACTCCGAAATTTCTTGGAAGATATTCCATTTTGGCCCAAACCATTGGCACCTATATGTATAAATTGTGTTATTCAAGCGGCAATACGCAGGGTAGGGAGCGTTATGTAAAACGGAAAATCTCGTCACATTCGACGGAGATACAATACCGTTAGACAACTACTCTCTAGTGGTGTTATCACGATTGACTATGTAAAATAAAGAGATAACGTGTCGGATCCACTTACAAAAGGCCTATCTAGAGAGACAATTGAAAGATCATCGAAGGGAATGGAGCTAAGGCCTAGGAGAAGTCATCATGGCGGTAACTCTACTGTTACATCCCATGTTTTCGTACGTGAGAGTACGTCGTAAGCCAATTGATGTAAGCTCGGAAATGAGATCATTTTTTAAAGTACATAAAGTAAGTTCATCATGTAATCTTGGAGGTTATAAATCTTTAAGATCATGAATAACAAGTACCAAAAGGGTTGGAAAGCTTAGACGCTAAACGAATTGAATAAAATAAATTTTGTCGAAAGTCAACAAGTTTGGAATGTTATAACATATACTTTTAGGGTGAGACTAGGGTAATTAACATGATGAGGAGGTTAAGTTATCAGTTATTTTAGTCGTATGATAGTCGTGTGTTATGTTTTTAAGTCAAGCAAGTTGTGGAACAAAAAGTTGGCAAAGGTCATCACAAGTTGCATTCATAATGTGCTGAAATTTAGGTCAAATGTACTGCACTTTTATCCCAATATAATTGGAATCAAGGGATGATATACATATCAAATTGAATATCTATGAGTCTAGTTTCTAACTCATTAAACCGTTTTTCAATACGATCTCGGAGTATAGAGATATTCGCATTTTTGCGAGACTGCGCAGATTAGTAGGTGACAAGTAGGCTAAGAGGGTACTTTTAATGGATTATCGACTAATTTATTTCAACCATCTTTCAGACCTTGAAAACCAAATTGAACCCCTGCAACTCCTCCCCAAAAATTCCATACAAACCCTAGGGTATTTCGGGTGTTACGACGTGATTCTAGTGCTGAAAAGTCCGGACAGCTTGCTAGTTTCTCTTTCTCCTTCTTGTAGCCGCGTTGAGGAACTGATTTTTGATGAAGAAGGACCACGTTTCGTGGTTTATACTCAGTTCAAGGTAAGGTTATGCTTCTCCTTCCATTATCTATGCGTTTGCGAGTTGTAACTCGATCGTAAAGAATAGACCTAGCGAGTTTCGAAAGAGTGGTATTTTGTTTGTTCTTGTGTCATGGTTGGCTGGTTGTGAACCTATTTTTAAGTTGAATTCATAGTTGGTTTATTGGATAAGAGGTATAATTATGTACTTTTGATTGTGTTTCTCAATTTGAAAAAAAAAGACAAGTCGAAATGTGTTTAAGTAAACTGAAAAATTAATGTTGAGTTGCTGAACTTGTGGGACTGTTTTGTGGGCTGTTTCGTATTGCTATTGGGTTGTCTCTTTTGATACTATTTTTATGGAGTTGAGAGGAGGAAGGGTGTGGAGAAACACCACATAATGGTAGGGTTGTTTGCTGGTCGTTCGTCGTAATATTTTCGGATTGTTTGACACTATTATGGTTGTCGTGTTGTGTATGAAGTGATAGGGGTATGTTGGGCTGTTTGGTGATTGTTTTGACTTGTGTGAAGTCATATATAGGGGAGGTGCTGTCCGTTTCATCGTAAAATAGGTTGTGGTCGATACATAATAGTTACGACGCTTAAACGATAATGATAGTGTCATTTCTCTTATTGTAGACTAAAGAGTCGTGGCATTTGCATAGCTTGAGGTTAGGCAGTACATATACAAGGTATGTGAGGCTATCCCTTTCCTTCTTTTGCATGAATTCGATTGTACATAATGCAATGAACGAGCTTCCAAAGGTACTTTACTCTTAGAAGCTAGCAGTACTTACATTGTTTCCCTTCTTATGGAACAATTGATGTTGAGGTTGCTTCTCTTATTCTTATGTTATCAATGTTGTTGGTACTTCCTGATTCTTATAAGATTCTTGATGAAGAGTTATTCCTAATAACGTGTACGGAGAATATCGACCTTACGTCACTCCGAAAGGTTCAAAATATGATTCCAATGAGTCCTACATGCATTATATATATGTATCTTACTCTACCGAGCCGCGCTATAGTAGGCCGGGTACGGCACCTATTGTACAACCACTGATCAGTTGGATTTACCAAGCTCCACGTGGCCGGGTACGATTCTACCGAGCCTTATGAGTGGCCGGGTACATTTTTACCGAGTCCTCTTTGAGGCCGGTACGATATGACGATAATGATGCCCACAGAGGCGAATGTTTTTAAAAGTTTATGTATATATATGTATTATGCATTTCATATCAGTAGACCCAGAGGCACTCAAATGTTACAGGTTGTATCTCCTCTATCTCTCTTTACATTATTGTTCTTGTTTATGCTTTCCTGTCTTACATACTCGGTACTTTATTCGTACTGACGTCCTTTTTGCCTGGGGACACTGCGTTTCATGCGCGCAGGTCCCGATTGATAGGTTGACAGTCCTCCAAGTAGGCTATCAGCTCAGCGGAAGTGTTGGTGCACTCCACTTGCTCCGGAGTTGCCTATTTGGTCAATATGCTTTGGATAGGTATTGATTGGTATGGCGGGGCCCTGTCCCGACCTTTATGATTTTATGTACTCTTAGAGGTTGTAGACAGATGTCAGGTGTATGGATACTTGTATGGCCTTGTCGGCCTATGTTTTGAGTTTACAAATGGTCATGTCGGCCTTATAGGCCCGTATGTCACATGTATAAGTTTTTATATCATGTTGGGTCTTCATATGTGGAGTATTCCCTTATGTTTTATTCTTGTTATCTCATGACGGGTTTTCTGGCTCATTTACCCATGATAGTATGATAAGAAAGATACGCTACGTTGGTACTCAGTTGAGTAAGGCACCGGGTGCCTGTCGCGGCCTTCGGTTTGGGTCGTGACATCTACCTAGCAGACTGGAGATCCCAAGAGCTAGGTTCAAAGAGATCAAACAAAGTTATGAATGACGATTCAACATTGTCAAATAACTCAACCCATTCTCGTGATGAAGACAATGTTCAGAAATCAAGGTAAAACATTAAGGCTTTTTGATGAGTCAATAAAGCTTAAAGCTTTTTAATAATTTTCTAAGTCTGGCAGGATATGACCAGATAGTGTGTCTATAAGATTATACATTTAAAAATCACCTATGTGAGTGTGAAGTGTAAGCCGCTTTAAGGGGAATGAAAGTAAAGGCCTCTTCTCTAAGCACTCATAAAACGAGGCGGTGTTCATGGCTGAAACGAACACAACCGTGAGAACCAAAGACGGTTAAGGATTGATTGTGTGACTTATGGTTACACCAAAACTCGACGGTTCAAAGATATCAAATCTACCAATTGACCGAGTATATCCGACATAAGTTCGCTACAGAAAGTTCAAAGGGAAACCTACTTATTCAGATGCGATTAATCCTTACTTGCGAATCACACAGTATTTTCATGCATGTTTTTTCACATATGTCCATTCCCCATTCATGTGGGGTATTGTTGCACTTTTATTAAAAGGGTGTGAATGGAAAATGGAAGAGGCACCTTTTTTATTGCACCTCTCCATATCACCCATTTGTCTATAAATTTAGAGGCTTGGCCTCATTTTTCAAACATGGAAAATCTGAAAACTTCTCCCCTCCTTTCTATATTGTTGCATTATTTTCCAAATAAATATAAGTGTCAAGTGTGATTTGCTCTGTTTGTTGAGTTCGCTGAACTTCTATGATTTGTAATGCCGCTATCACAGAATAGCTATTCCGTTCTATCCTGGGAGGAATTAATCCGTATACCTTGGGCAACTGTGAGGGGATTAAATTCCTTAAGGGCACAGTGCGAATTCAGTGAGCTCGGAATTATTTTACGATTTGTTTATTGAACTAACATTTTTGCTTCTCTTATTTTCTGATTTTGAACGCAGTAATACCAACAATCCTCCCGATCATTGGGGAATCTTCGAATTCAGAGACCACAAAAACTCAACATCTTTTTCATTTATAAGTAGCATATAAAAAAGAGGATTCTGGGCGTCTTGGTATTGAAACCGCTTAAACCGTAATCGTTGCCTTGACTAGAAAAGTGGGCGACGAGAATAGCTCTTCTAGCATCAGCATGGATTGACGAGAGACTATGGCTACTTTTTCACGAACTTTCAAACATTACTTCTCAAAAATCAGTTCAAAAAGTGGCAAGCCTATACCGCCATACAATTTTTACTAAGACGAATGGGGTAGGGCATTTCTCATGCGGGCCAACCCGCTGAAGAGCTAGTCCAGTCTAGAGTAAGACCTCAGTATAGTGGGGCATGTACCCAGACAATCATCTTAGGATGCTATTTGGAGATTAACAATACTTATTTGTCCTGAAATTTTAAACTAAAAATCTTAACTTGAGGATAATTCAGGACATTTTTATCTTGCAAATTTAAATTGAAAACTGAAAATCACGACACACCACACACTGGCAAATTCTTAAATAGCAGCCTTTAGAGTGGCTACCTGGTGTCATTTCTACCAGTATATTTGGGCTTTGATTGTGTAGCCCAGCCACGGGGCCCAATACCTTGACCCGAAATAAGGAAGAAGCATAGCGGAGTACAGCACCAAGCCATCAATGGAGAAAAATTCTTCAGCCGGTGCCAATCCATGGAGTCATCATCCGCCTCATCATCATCATCATCATCACTTTCAGATATTACATAGTTGTCCATTACACAGCCACATGTTGCAGCGGAACAATCATATTCCAACATGCCCACTTTTCACTCCTTTTCCGCAAAACCCTGAACAGATTCCACTTGCTATATTGCCGGACGATTTGAAGCCGCAGATTTCTGAGCCTAATGGAAATTTTACTGACTCGAGGTAACTTTTCCCCTATGTCCTTTTGTTCTTCAATGATGAATTTAATGCTTCGTTGTTCTCTGATTGAAATTGAGCCTATCTGAAGATTGAGTTTTTTTTTTTTTGCACGGCAGGAAATTAAGTTGTCTGTGTTTCTGGTGGTGCTAGTGAAGTAGTAGTTGCTACACATTGTACTTGATTGTGATTATCTTAGTAATGCTATTAGTATTATACTGATTATAAGTTTACTAATTGGCAGGGGCGGAGCTAGAGTGTCGGAATGGGTTCTGCCGAACCCAGTAGCTTTGAATTCGAACCTTGTTTATGTCTTAAAAGTCCATTCATTATGTATAAACTATTAATTTAGAACCCAGCAACTTAAAATGATTAGACTCCCGAACCCATGAGCTTGAAGTCTTGGCTTCGCCTCTGCTAATTGGTAGTGTTTTTACCTCATTTAATCACGAGTTTATTTATACCACAAGTTTTAACATGAGTACTACTGTATATGCAATGTTGTTTAGAGACTAGAAGTTGAGATGTTTCATGGCTACCTTTAGTAGGAAGAGTCTAAAAGTGTTGGATACATTTTTCTCCAAACAAGGAATTTTTCTACTTGTGTATGGGAAGAACCAATTTTGTTGCAGCTGTAATTAAGTGGCGCTTCAGTGATAGTGATGGTATTGTGACAATACATGTAGGTAACTTAAATGTTCGTCGATGTGCAAATTTGATCATCTAACATAAGTACTCACTCTTTCTGATTCTTGTTTTTCCTAGTAAGCAAGAAAAGAACTATAATCTTCTGTTAGTTAATGTTATCATAAGCTTATGTTTGCTTACCCACTGACAGAGAACCTCTGCCACCCTAGGGTGCAGAATGTTGCCTTTTGATGGTGCACTATTTTGTACGTTTATCTTCTTCTTTTTTTAACCTCAGTAGCTAATGTCAGTTAGAGAGCAGTTAGATATAACAAACAGTTTGTAGAGATCTCAGATGAAAAAGTAGAGATATGTAGGAGTCCCCTCTGGCTTCCTTCCGTTCCTCTTCCATTGTCCTGAAGAGTCTTTACACCTGTTCTTTTCCACTTCCATACCCAATTTCTTGGTCAGGCCCTCATCCACTCTATCACCCGCTAAATCATTCTTCTTTATCTATAAACTCTCTGGGAGTCCTACATCCTCTTACTGAATGCAGCCATCTCCAAGCGAACCTAATTTTCTCCTCCCCTTAATAGAACATCTTAAAGTCCATTCCACGTTTCAAAAAGTCCTCTCAACTTCAGAATTGCACATGCTCGGGGTGGCTGCATATGTTAATCTTGAGTTGGTTTGGGCTGAATATGGTGATTGGCTATCAAGGAATAGGTGCATGTACAAACTATGCTGCCGAATAGTGATATCTCTTCAACTTCCGTTATATTAAGAAAATTGGAAAGAAAGGGGAGTTTGTCCATCCTAAACACTGAGAAGTACTACCTGATCCAACTTTTCTGTGTCTTCAGTTTTATTCTTGAAAAAGAGGTGAAGGTTTTTGGAATCAAGTAGGTGTTGTAGACAATGAGCCTAAACCTCACTGGCATCAGTGGCATGATCCCTTTCTTGTATCCATTTGAAACAGTGCTTTTGAGATCATGAGATGTTAATGTTGTGTTAGAGCAGTCTATTTCAAGGCTTTTACTTTTACCCTGTAGATTTTAACTAATTCTGTTGCTTTTCCTTATAGAAAACTAATTCTGTTGTTTTTCATCTGAAGAATGATGCAAGACGAAGATCAGGACTTAGAAGATGAAGAGGAGGAGCCTATGTTTTTCCTTACAGATGAATGGAGGGATTTCTTTGCTAAATCTGAAGCTAAAAGGAGACTAGGTGATAATTATACTCCTTCCCATTTAGCTGTACTACTTTCGCGAGCAGAGGCGGATCTAGGATTTCTAGTACATGGGTGCACTACTAATAAAAAGAGAAAAAAATATATCAAGTGGGAATTGATCCCTCTTCCTCTTGGTAAATAACTCAACTTTCAACCAAGTGCACCATTCAACCTTCTTGGAGCATGGGTGCCAACAGTTAAATTATACCAATTTTAAAAAATATGTACATAAAATATTTAATTTAGTGAAGAGACCATGGATTCACGTGCCCCGCATTTACCCTATGAATCCGCCCCTGTTCGCGAGAGGTAAATAGTTGACTAATGTATTTGATTGATATGCAGCCAAAAAACAAGCTAAGAAGAAAGCGAAGAGTAAGAACGCTGATGGGAATACACCAGCACCAGCGGCTGATTGTAACGCGAAGATTGAATCTGCTACATGTCCGGAGGTCAAGTCCGAGAATGAGTAATGAAAAAGTCCTTCCATGATGATGCACATTACATACAACAGGGATAAGCCTTTTTGTAGTTTTGAGAGTAAATGTCAAAATATTTTTGATTCTAAATCTCAACTATCACCTGGAGAGGCAGCCCGAAGCTGATGTAATATGCACTTCTCGATTGTTATTCCTTGTAATTGTGCATTTTAAGGAATATTATCATGACTTGCTTGATTGAGGCACCTTTTCATATTTCTTGTTAGTTGCAGTTGCTTTCATCCCAGAGCTATTTTCAAATTTTTGCTTAGTTTTTGGTTATCCACAACACTAAAACAACAGAGCAAGGAAGCCACCTTTTCTTCCAAGTATTTTTTAACTTTAAATCATGACAAAACTATGAATAGTTGAGTGCTTGTGTCTTCGAAAAGGTGCCAAACTTTACACTGGAAATGTCGTCTATTCTTTGTTAACTAGTAAATGCAAAGGAACTTAAAGATGTCATACAGGTCAAGTAACACACATTACTGAGTTTAATATTTTCATGCCTTTTACCTTAAGGTGGCGTTACATAAAATCCGACTTATTCCTATTACATGCGGTTGCTGGTCCAAAGCTGCCACACCTTATTTCCTTTTCGTTTCCTCGAGCAATCATGCAGGGGTGAGTTTTGGGCGGATTTTGTGAGTTCCACTTAACCCATTGCCTCCACCTCAACTATGTATACATATGCAAAAAAAAAAAAAAAAAAAAAGGATACATATAATAAGATCACACTTATTTTGAACCCACTGAATTTGCCTCTATAATCAAGCTTGTCATTTAACAATGACGATGCTTGACGTCCCACTCTTGAATCTCTTAATTGGAAGTTGCATTGAAAGCTGTTGGCCATTGTGCAATTGTTTAACACCTGGGTCGAAAAAAGAAAACAAGTTTTACATAAGGGACCTGGAGACAAAAATGGTGAGATAACGGGAGGCTAGGTCACTGCCACAGTATCAATTACCTTCCAGCTAGCTTGCTCATTGCAGCATTTACCCTCTCATCTGAGATCGATTTATGGCTGTCATAAAAATCTAGTATCTCCATTGCTATATTTTTCACCTGTCAACGTTGAGAAACTGGTTAAACAATGATGCTAGGACGAAACTTCATCTAGGATAGTCAATCTCCAAGCGGTTTAAAACTCGTCGGAACATGGCAGGTTGTTTGGGCAACAATCTGATTATCATATCATGTATCAATGCCTTTGAGACATTTTGCATCACATTCACCTAAACACCAGATGTAAATCATTTTGACCAAAAGTGTGACAGATCAAGTTTTATTTAACCATAGACTATCTTATCAACCTGTTTCACCACCCACATTTGACATAACGAAGTACATATGACATGAAGCAAGTTCTAGGAGTTGAGAAAATCCTAAAACAATATAGAACTAAATCAATCCTCTCTATCTTCCTTATGGTGACAAAAATACATCTCTACATGACAAGTAAATTATGAAAACTTGGGTAGAAAACAATGTCAATTCACGTATCAAGAAAAAATAAAATAAGATAATGTCATGTCAAGCTAAAGGTTATCCGTATCAACTTTGTAATATAGGAATCTGATTTTTAAGAGATAGTCTACGATGGTCTTTCCTGGTTATATTTCAAAACACAGGCGCAGATTTGAGTTTGCATACATACCACATTCATATCAACTCGAAGTTCCTCAAACCAGGCAGTAGTTTCTTTATCTTTCAGCACACTTGCAATATATATGCAGGCTAAAGCAATCAAATGTGGCGGATGTATGAGAATTAGGTCCATCTTATAGGTGTCATTTACAAGTCCCCTGGAATTTAAGTAGAATTCCAGACTTATCAAAACAAAACAAGAAGGTAGATTTTTGGAAATATCTATTATGGGACGTCATATTTTGCATAATCTGGTGAATTTCACAACTGGAAATCAAAGATATGAAGGCCCCTGAAAGTTTCTTACCAAGTCAATTGAGTTGTATCGCTCATGCCGGCATCCTGAAGGAACCTGCCAATTGAGTTAAAAATCAAGTTATACTGAGAAAAATTGATCATCTACACAAGGAAGATTATAATTTGATTGCTTGGAGACTGCAAAAAACACCTAACACACAACTATCTACTCTAGTCTTATCATTCATATCCAGAACTCCTTCATTAGTGAAATAGTGAAAATACATGAACCAAGTTTAAGATTCTATTTTTCTGCTGCATGTTAGGGGTGCAAACTGTGGCCTGAGAAAGCATACTTAAATGCGGAGACCAATTACTATTACGGAAGTACGGAAACCTTCAGCAATAATTTGCTTTAGGCATGGGGAGAGGAATAAAATTCTTCTTCTCAAGAGGAGGGGGAAAGAGGGTTATCGGGAATCATTTGGCAAACGGATTGTGACGACCCGGCCCGTCGTCACGTGAGTTACCGCCCCGTTTCCCCCATTTTCTGCTTCTTCATGCTTCATTATAAGAGTCTTGTGTGAACGAGTTGATTTGGATTTGGTTTTAGAAGGAAATGAGATACTTAGTCTCTTTAAGGAAGGTTTGTCTTGGAAAAGTCAACCGGATGTTGACTTATGAGTTAGAAGCCTCAGATATGATTTCCGGTGATTCGGTTAGCTTCGGGGGATGATTTGTGACTTAGGAGCGTGATCGGAAGTGATTTTGGAGGTCCGGTGTAGAATTAGGCTTGAATTGGCGAAGTTAGTATTTTGGCGAATTCCGGTTGATAGGTGAGATTTTGATCCGAGGGTCGGAATGGAACTCCGAGAGTTGCTGTAGCTTCGTTAGGTGACTTGAGATGTGTGCGCAAAATTTCAGGTTATTCGGAGGTGTTTTGGTCGGGTTTTTGATCGAATGCGTATTTCGAAAGTTTTAGAAGAACTTAGGCTTGAATCCGATGTAATTTGATGGTTTTGGTGTTGTTTGTGGTGTTTGATGATTGGAGCACGTTTGAATGGTGTTTTAGGATGGATTGACACTTTTGGTTGAGGTCCCGGGGGCCTCGGGGTGATTTCGGATGATCATCGGGATGAATTTGGACTTGTAGCACTGCTGATAGTTGCTGGTATCTGGTATTTCCGCATCTGCGGAAAAGGGGCCGCAGATGCGGAGACAGGAACGTAGGTGCGGATTTTGGCCATTTGGACGATTTCCGCAGGTGCGGAGTCCGCAGATGCGGATAATGACCGCAGAAGCGATCCGCGTATCTGAAGGAACTTCCGCAGAAGCGGATGATGGTCCGCATAAGCGGCGTCCGCAGAAGCGGATATAGACCGCAGAAGCGGTCCAGGCGGTTAAGTAAAGAACCACAGAAGCGGAATAATTCCGCAGAAGCGGGAACCGCAAATGCGGTAATCGGATCGCAGAAGCGAAAATAAGGTCTGGGCAGAAGGGTTTAAAATTAATATTTCATCCGCGAGCTAAGGTATTTTTCCACCATTTTTGAGCAACCTTAAGAGCTTTTGGACGGAAATTGAAGGTGATTTCGACTGAGTGTGATTGGAGGTGAGTTCTATGACCTAAATACATGATTTAATGGTAGAATGAAATACATGAAAATTCATCAAAAGGGGGAAAAGCTAGGGCTTGGAATTTGATATTTCAAAGTGGGTTTTGATGGGTCATTTGAGCTCGGATTTGGGAGTTTTTGGTATGTATAGACTCGTGGCGAGATAAGGAATCTGATGATGTTAAATTTTCTGATTTTCGAGAAGTGGGCCCGGAGCTCGGGTTTTGCAAATTTCGTGAATTTCGATATTTTTCGAGTCTTTTCGATTGGGTTATGTTCCCTTAGCCTATTGTAACGTATTCGTTGTGGTTTTGATCAAATTCGACGCGCGAGGAGGTCGATTTGCGAGGCAAGGGCATAGCGAGCTAGGATTTTGGCCGGCTTGAGGTGAGTAATGATAGTAAATGATATCCTGAGGGGTTTGAAACCCCGAATTTGCACAACGTAGTGCTATATTGAGGTGAAACAAGCGCTTACTGGCGAGCGCGGGATTGTTTACTACTGGGGATCGTGACTTGGTCCGTCCCGTTTGATATATTACCGCGTATTTGACTGAGCTGTTTTGTTTATCATCATGATTTGGGCTTATTGCCATACTTTGGGCTTAATGCCGACTACTTGAATCCTTCGGGGATTGTTATCACTGTTTCCTCACTGTTTTGATATAATACTTGAACTCAGTCCTAATGATTATACTGTTTTACAAACTCAGCCGCTTTAGCTGAATTTTTGAGACTTTAATGATATTTCACTGTCGTTTGGGCTGAGAACTATTATTTTATTGATGCCCGAGGGGCTTATGATGTTTCTGGACCGAGTGAGGCTTTCAGGCCTCGAGTGTTATGTGAGGAGGCTTTCAGGCCTCGAGTGTTATGTGAGGAGGCTTTCAGGCCTCGGGTGTGATATGAGAAGGCTTTTAGGCCTTATGTTGATATAGCGCTTGGGCTGTAAGGGGCCCCTCCGGAGTCTGCACACCCACAGTGAGCGCGGGTACCCATGTGATATGAGAGTGAGCCCGAGGGGCTGATACTGTTCTGAGCGATTGATACTGGGCCCGAGGGGCAGATTTCTACTCACTATTTACTGGTTGTTTTACCTGTTTTACCTCTCTTTAAAAAAATGAGATTTCATTCGACTCTTTACGGATTTTTACTGCGTTAATGATTTACTGCCTGATATAGAATTGCCTTGTGCTGTTATGTGTTTTCTTACCTTCAGTTATTATTTATTATTATTGCTCATTGGGTCGGAGTACTCACATTACTCCCTGCACCATGCGTGCAGATTCAGGCATAGCAGAGTCCGCACCTGAGCACTGATATTCTTCACGGACCAGGCAGCGAGTTGGAGCTCCGAGGTAGCTGTTGACGTCCGCAGCCCCTTGACTCCCCTATTTTATGTTATTTCAGTTCCTTCAGACTACTATTTCAGATATTCTATTTCTTAGACTTATAGCAACTCTGTAGTAGCTCATGACTTGTGACACCCCGGTTTGGGCTGTGTCGGGATGGTACCCTTTGCTATTATCGCTGTTTTCGCTTTTATAACTATTTTATACGCGTTTTGGATTTATTAATGTTGAGAAATTGTTAAAAGAAGTGTTTCCGTTGTTCTGGCTGGCCTTGTCTTCACAAGAGGCGCCATCACGGCCGGGTTTGGGATTTGGGCCGTGACACGGATGGTGATAGATTAAGCTCCCAAGCAATATAATTTT